TAATATATTACACATGACTAATTTGCTAATTGTACCGTGATATCAATTTGATCATCTACTACAACGTTCTAACGTACATTTTTTTGGCGCCTCAAAATAGCAGACGAGATGATTCGTACGAGGACAGCAGGCACGTGGTCAGCAGATCGTCAAGACATGCGCACAAGAAGTCAAGGACGCACAACAAATCAGAGAGCAGTGATTCCAGTAGTGATACCGGACATGGCGGAAATAGTAGGAGGAAGAAGTCTTCAGATAGCGGCAATGATGATTAGGAGAGATTGATGATTAGGAGAGAGTGGTGATTAGAAGAGAGTGGTGATTAGGAGAGTGGTGATTAGGAGAGAGTGATGATTGGGAGAGAGTGAGAGGAAAATGAGGATGGATTGATGCTGCTGATGATGATGTTTTCGTACAAACGATGTTGCAACTTCAATGGTGATGCGTATGATGGTAGTTATGTGGGGTACGGGCTAATGACGTCAGCAACAACATTGCCACTGAAGAAGAAGAGGAGGGCGACGAGTGATTCATCAATGTTACTATTAACAGTTTTAGATAATTTGATGATTGATTAGATTTGTTAATAATGTTAATAAACTTCTCCGCTGCTTATTGACGTCATCTTGATTATTATTAATTGTTTTTGAGGATGTTCAAATGCGTTTAGGTCATTTTTCATTTAATTTAATTAATCATTGCAACTCTCTTGATGACGACTTGTAAAAAAAAATGATAAAGAAGACGATGACGAGGAAGATGATAAAAATTTAGATTTATTTCCTGTGTTATTGCACGAAAATAGCGGTATAATTGACTGGACCTGTTGTCAAGGTGCGTGTTGTGCTGATGATTCCAATGGTGGTGAGGTTCTGGGAGACGAGGGTGGTGGCAGTTGTGTCTCTAAGGATTTCAATTGATAGTCTATTTAATTTTGTGCATATGCATGGTTCAATTAAGATCGAATAATTGTAGTAATAAAAATAATTATACAGTTTGCATATATATATATATATATATATATATATGTATATATATATATATTTATTTATATATATATATGTACGTACTGTTATACAAATGACTAAATGGTTAAATGACAGTTATTTGAATTTTTTTTAATAATATTTGAACGAATTTGGCGATTAACGAAAATCGTATTAAATGTGTAAAAAAGCATGTTTTACAATGTCTAGGACTGATTTTGTGCTGTTGATTATTAGTTCTGAAATTGAAATGTCACCAACTGTAGTAAGGGATGATAATTTCTTTTTCACGAATTGAGGTTTTTGTTTGTACTGTATATTCATACATACATATGTAGGTATATACAATATATATATACGGTAGAATGTGAATGTATGATTGTATCGCGCCAACGACGGTTTGGCGTTTTAAGCGATAATTTTTATCTCTCGAATGCTCTAGCCGTTGAATAAAATTATTTCTTCATTCTTATTTACTTAGGTCTATTTCTTGTCTGTTTGGTGGTGTCTTTCAATAAATTTTTTTATGTAAAAGTATACATTTGGGTTTCGGTATAATAGCAACCAGCTGAAAGGTGCTTGAAAACCCCATATCAATACATTTTAGCTAAGCTATGTTGCAGGTACACCACATTTCGTTTTCTATTGGTTTAAAGTTTAAACCTTTTTAAAAAAAAAGGTTGAGCTTGAATTGGCATGCATGATTTGGCGAAAAAAGGTCTAACTACGAAGAAATACTTGTAGGACCGTCAAGAGAAATCGTAGAAAAGTAAAAATGATGTAAAAAATCATTCTAATCAATGAAAGGTCTTAAATTTCACGAAATATGCTATATGTGCGTTGTACGTTTTCAAAATTATTCTTTTATAAGACGGTATATATATATATATATATTTATTTACACTTGTAATATATATTTATTTACACTTGTAATATTAATATTAAATTAGACTTGAGTGTGTGAATGATAAAATGGAAATAAGATGTTATACACTGAAGAGACAGGAAAAGCAAAAGGCTTACTTGAAAAATTTGGAATAGAATAAGGGATTGACCCAGCAATTTACATTAAAACAATCAAAAATCGAAGCACGAAGGACAGGACCAGTCACTAGATCATGGTGCAAAAACGTAGCAAGTCGAACCTCATTAATTCAACCATAAATCTTTCGTAACGTAACTTGTGTTAATTTTCTTCGTCAAAGTTTTACTGAAATTTGTAAAAATCACTGACTCCACTTGATTTATTTTACTTTTGACAAAAAAATTAATATTGGTAAAGTTCTAACCCGGATTAGTTAACATATTGTTAACAGGTTATTAACATATAGGATGTATATTATTATATATATTATATGTAATGAGCCATAAAGCAAGCAGTACATTTCATTCAGTTGCATCGGCAGATTTCGCATCCGTTCGCATCTCGTTGAAACCCATTGGCGCAATACATGCGGCAGAGAACACCATCACATTCTGTTTCAATGATTTCACAATAAAATTTAGTTTTTCACAGAATGACAATGCCATTAAATGTGTGACAGTTATTCAACTATCCAAAATTGAAACGTGTATATCCGATAAAAAAAAACATACTACAACCACAGTACCGCACTCCATAATTGAGTAAAGTAGCACTATCACCGTACTTTATATATGATTGAGTAAGATATCTAACCTACTTAAGGAAATTAATTTTTTAATAATACTTAAACATATTTTAACAACTTACCGCATTTCTTGATTTCTTTGTTGCATACTTGGTTATAGGCACACGGCTAATAGTTCAATCATTTCAGGTTTTATTAATAACTTTATTAATTGTATTGCAATATTCAACATTTATTATTTTAAAAAAAATTGAAATTTGAAAACTCACAGGACATTCGATGTCTGAAAAGTTGAACAAAGTTATTTTATTTAGATCAAGATATTTCTTTGATATTTAAAACTGTTATAAAAATATTTATAATTTTTAATTGAACAAACTAAATTTACAAATAAATAATAAATTTGTAAATATAATAAATAATAACGGAATCAAAATTTCGTAACCGACCGTTGCACTTGCATATTTCGCACCCATTATGGTCCCTCATGAATCCGTTTGGACAGAGCATGCGGCACTGTGCTTCTGAACACACAGCTAAAAAATCAGAAAAAAGTTATTTCTCTCGTAAATATAACCACTATCGAATACTTTCCGATTAAAATCTTTATACGTTATTGTTAGAGAGGTAATTTAAACTGTTTTTGAAAGCGGAAAGAGTTACGGACTAATCATTAATAAAGAAAAACAATAAAGTTTTTGTAATTGGAAATAATAAATACCCAAGCTGACACAAGGGACGATGGAAAAAATTGAACAGTTAGATCAGTTTGTATATGTGAAAATTCTGATTACAAGAGATAAGGATTGCAGCAGAAATCAAAGGATGAATTGGCATCACAGCAGGCACGTGTGGAACACTGGTGGTACATGGAAAAGCACGAAAATATCACTTCAGAACAAACTTAAGTTAATGGATTCACGTGTAGTGTTGACATTATTGTATGCATGTGAAGTATGAACATTGAAGAAAAAAGACAAAAAAAGGCATTTGAGATGAAGTGCTACAGAAGAATGTTCCTGTGAAACGGACAGAAAAAAGAACAAACGAAAGTATGTGTCCAAATTAACAGGATGAAGACGACAATGACGAAAGTATAAGAAAGGCAAATGAGTTTTTTCGACACATCTGTCGTCCGATGAAAGATGACAGGCTCATAAAAATGATTGTGTTTGCCAGAACAAGATAAAAAAGGAAGAAAGAAAAACCCACGAGAAGATGTTAGATGATATTGAAGAATGAAGTGGAAGAAACATGGACGGCAAAAAGGCAAGACGTGTCAAGACAGAGTTTCCGGAAAAAAGATAATGGTCTTCGTATTATGGGGAACATGGGATCACAAAATATTGAAACTCTTGATTATTTTATTAATGTTAATAAATGGTCATCTCTTTATTTCTAGTTGTGATATTAGGACGTATCTATAAAAAACATATGATTAATTAAACTTTATTTAATTGCAAAGGCTAACAATTCCAAATATTATCTACAATATGACACAATAGTCTGAAAGAACATTCTAATGTTGACCAACCGTTTGTCTGTACTGCGTAGACAATCAGCAACGAAAAAGCAAGAAAAATAAATTTGTTCATGATGGCTGCCTAAAAAAAATTAGATTTTTTTTCTGAAATTAGGAAAATTTTATTAGCAGTTAGACAAAAAAAAATATTTGTAGCAAAACTTGCTTGAATCGAATGGCTTTCTTCTCAATGAGGTGACTTGACGATTCGTATCTCAATTTAAAACCTTTCAAAGTACAGGGAAACGATGGAACTATTAATAAATATAACATCTCAGCATTTCTTACTACTGAAACTATGCAATGTTCAATGTCCAATGTGTAAAGAGAAATAATAACATAAATGTAATAATAATATTAATAATAACGATATTGTTGATAATAATAATAAAAATAATAGTTAATTATAAAATCCAGAGATAGGATGAAGTTCACTGGACTATGATCAGTTTCAACCAATTCAGCTATTCAGCTAGAACTTTATTTTAACTATATTCACAAGCCTCGCTCGTTCATGAACTACTTTAAATATTTTCATTAAAATACTTTTCTAATTATTTTTTTATAACATTTTTACTCCACAAATATTATTGAACCATTTTTTCTATTAGACGATTCATTGTTTCACTTACGTCGTTTTCCAACAACTTTTCTATTAAAATCAGTATTTTTGATGAAAATTTACCAAATACTAGTTTTGTGACAGAGAAGTAAAATCAATCTTGAGCTAAAATTTATATAGAAGTTCGATCAATTAAATCTTAACTTCAACAAACTTTTTCATTGTGAGGCCTCTTAATGGCAGATTTATGGAGGCCGTGGGTCCATGTTGTGAGTAGTATTTTTATAAAAATCAGTTTTTACATAGGAAAGCACCGTTTCAAGTGGAAAATCAGCCAAGGAATGACATGATAATATGATAAGCAAAAAAGATCACCAATGTTTAAAAAAAAATACTAATACTCGTAAGTTAACCTAATGGAAAACTTTTAAAACTTGCCTTAATTTAAGCTAAGCCATAATGTTTTGTGACATTTCATTAATTGGCATTTGTTTGTTGATATGTGTTTCAAATAAATTTTTTATATTTATTTATCAGTTGTTGAATTTAATTTGGTTTCAAGTTTTCAAATGAATAGCCTCTATATAATATACTCGTAATAAAACAAGATTAGTTTTTTTCATTTTCTAACATCTATTGCATTACAGATGTTTCTTCATTTTTATTGTAATGCCAAAAAACACTTGAAAATTTTGTCCGAACGATATAAATTTTGTGAAAAAATAGGATTCTATTTTTTTATGAATCAGAATTTTAAAATGAACGGATTTATCGGACAGTTAGTGGTTAGTTTTATATTAATAATATACACCTCTGTAATTAAAAGTTATTGATTTCCGTCAGTCACATCCCGGTGTAGTCCTAGTTGCATCTGCAAATTTCGCATCCGTTTACATCAACTACAAATCCATGATGGCAGTGCATGGGGCATATAATTCCATCACATTCTGTTTTCATAGTTTTGATTTTAAATTTGGATTTTGTTGGTTTTAAATGAAAATAAAATAGAATAAATCAAATATAATAGAATATTAAACGAATCGATTTGATTCCAGATGACCGATTTCTGAAATAAAATCACGATTTTAAATGAACAAACGACTACTTACCACATTTTTTAGTCTCCTTGTTGCACAACTGATTATGGGCACAAGGCTGAAAATATTTTAATTCATTTTGCGCTAACTTGTTTTCAAGATTAATTTCTATTTAAAATTCAATTCAAATTAAAAATGAGGAAATATTTTGAGGTAATTGATACGAGTAAACAACTTACTGGACAATCTGGATCTGTAAAAAGACGAAAATTATCCAATAAAATTATTGATAATAATGACACATTGACTTTACAGGCATAAACATAGAAAAGGACATCAGCAGATATGAACAACAAACACCTTAACCTTGACATTGACAATATTCACATCCTTGCGAATCTCTTCTGAAACCGTTTTCGCAATACATGGCGCACGTGACGCCGGAACATTCAGCTGAAAATCGTTATTTAAAAGCAACAATATTACATTCGATCAGTGGCGGATCTAGACAACTTTGACCGGTTGGCCAAAATTTTAAAATTGTTTAAATAATTTTTACATTTTAACTGGGGGTGGCAAGATTTGTGATCATGTAGCTAAAATTAGGCTGCCAACCCCCGAATCCGCCACTGCATTCGACAATTTATGATAAGTTTGTTCATATCACATTGGTTTTTTACAATAAGTTAATCGTTTGAACTGTCTTTATCAAATGGTAATTTTAAAAATAACCGCGTGTCCGGGCTGCTAATGAAACGAAGATCAAGAGAGGCAGGAATATTAACTTGTTCATCGCAGACTTGCTTCAAATTTGACCAAACTGCTTTTTCTGTTTTCAGCCCGAGAATATTTAAATTTTGTTTCAAAATCACTTTAAGTTTATCAATCAACTTGTTGCCGTGTTTCTCCAACTAACAATTGAAATTTTACTAAAAGTACTAGCTAATAATAATCACTTTCAATCGCATCTATGCTTCCTATATTAATGTTTATAAGATAATTCACTCTGTAGTACCTACATGATATATTACGTTTAACTTACAATAACAACCTTACAGTCTTAAAAATATCCAGGTTCCTTTGGATTTTTTCACAACATGATTGAAGCATAAATCTCAAAATCTAATGTACGTTAAGATATTCTGTTATTATGAATGAACATATATGAACATTCATTCTTTAATAAAAGAGTCTTTGTATTGTATTGTATTGATATTTATATTTGTTTTTTCTTTCCTTTGATTTTATCTTTGTTTTATGTCACGGAATAATTTAAAAAAAAATTTTTAGCGTTAAGTTCTCAAACAACAAGGGATGGTTAATCAAATATAGAATATAATGACTCAAACGCCTACATTTTGGCGTTGTATCGTTCTTTATATAATAATAATAAACAAAGCCAACAAATCAATACCATCAGCAAACTTTATTTTCCTGTTTAATAAAAACAAAAAGCTATTGGTCCATTTTCAAATTCATGTCACAAAAATTCTCTCAAAAAAACAATTGAAGGATACTCGTGAATATGAGGACCAGCAGCCACTTGGGTGCCAGCACCGTCGCAAATTTCGTAACTATCTTTGTCGTCTTGAAATCAAATGCCGAAAATGAAGATGTTGATGCTACCATTCTGTCAGCTGCCATAGGATGAACATTTACATAAAAACGTTGAATGAGTGAATTTTGAAATTCATTAAAAATTTTGTAAAAAAATTGTTTAACATACGTCAGGGGTGGGCAAACTACGGCCCGCGAAGCTATTTTGTGCTGCCCGCAAGGCCTTGCTCGCCAAAAAATGAGTAAGCTAGACACCATGGCCAAAAGAAAAAGCCACAAATCTTAAAAAAATTCTCCCCCGGTCCTTTAAAGGTAAAAGAGTTCTCAGTGCGGCCCTCACAGCAAAAAGATTGCCCACACCTAACATACGTCATTGCATCAAATAAAATTAATACTTAGTGAAGTAAATATTTAAAATAAGGCGTAAAAATAACCCATAAAACTAAAAAAACAACGAAAAAAAAATATTTAAAATGACAGCAAGGAGACGAATGAATGCAAAGTCTACAAACTGCATCTCTTGGTAAAGTGATCACAACTTTCGTAAAATTTACATGGCTGTCGATAATTATAATGAAATTATAATTAAATAATTGTAATTAAATAATTGAAGAGAATTATTTAAAGCACTTTATAACACATTTAACTTGCTTGAAAATTAAAAAAAAATAATGGAAAATATCTTAAACTTTTACGTACTGGACAAACTGGATCTGAAAATAAAAATACGATTGATTAGTTAGAAAAGTTGCTAAATGAATTAGTAATTTTTTTTAAAAGATATTTGTTTTTAATGAAAATAAAGGAATAGTTTAACGAATTTTAAAACACTGAAGTAGATGAAATGAGAAACCGTTGCACATGCAAATTTCACATCCATTGTAATCTCGCATGAACCCGTTATCACATTGCATGTAACAGTTGAAGTTTGGGCAGGCAGCTGAAAATATTTAGCTAAAATATATCCTCTGTAATTATTTAACGCTTATAAACTGATTGAATCATCTACAGTAAAAAAATGCAATAGGAATGTTATTACACAATTTCTTGCTTTAAATAAATTATATATAATTTCTTCAATTATCATTTTGTGATAAAATTTCTAGAGTCTAATGAACAATTTGAACGGTTACCATCTGAATGGATTGCAAAGGCACCCACCAACAAAAACGCCAAGTAAATATATTTTTTCATTCCTAGTTTTTCTGTAATAAAACAATTAATTTTATGTATAAAATTGAATGGGGACGATTTATTCAACTATTCAAAAAGTACAAATCCCCTTATATGAGCCGCTTACATAGTTTGGAAAATTTAAAAACCAATGTGGACGTTGAAGATGAAGAAGAACCATCAAAGTCCAACTTTAATGCAGTTACCTAAAATAAGTTATCAAAATTTTAATTTAAAATTTATCACACAAGTCCAAGGTCTGAATTAAAGTCACATTGAACAATTTATGTTCATGGTTCAACGGTGAGAAGTTATAATTATGTTTGAAACATTTTGATGTATGGCTGGAAGGTGCTGCATTTTCATACAAATTAATGATGCGAATGTAGTTTGGCACAAGGGAGTCCTATTTATCAATTTAGAACACTTTCTTAAGGGTTGAAGCAGGGATATGCAAAGAACATCAATTTTTTCAACTTTTAATTATTTTCGGTAATGTCGATTTTATTTTTTTAATTTTTTACCAAATAAAAGTAACTAATTACCACATTTATAACAATTAAAAAAATTAAAATAAAAAAAAATCAAATTAATATTAAAATTAAAGTAATATTCCGAAATTAGTAAATATACGGTCGTAACTTTTAACTCAAGCGATAAAAAATCACCCTCCGAATCTCCTCCGGAAGTAAGCTCCTTGTTCGACCGTTAAAAGTGAGCGAAGGCCGTTATATTTATTCTAGTTAAATGGATTGCCAATTGTATATGAAAAGGAGAGGATAATGACGATTGAAGATGAAAATCTGTAGCAGTGCCTACCGTTACATCACTGAAACTTTTTTTTAATTCTTGCTCTAGGGATCTCATTTCTCTATCTTCAAGTGCACTTTTGCAGACTGCCTTGAAAAATTATTATATCCGACCTTTGATTGCCTCATTAATAATGATGATGTAGGTAGGCATAAGTATACATATTATTATTATTAAGAAAAAACTTAATAAAGCGTTCGTTATAGCAGTTTTCACAAACGCTATCAAATTATAACCAATATTGATATCAAAATAGCAAGAATGAAAAGAATTGATCCATAATAAAAAAAGTTATGCCTTTAGTTGTCTTTTAAATTCTTTAAAAAACAATTAAAGAATTTTCTTTTATTTTTTACACACACATATATACATATATGTGTGCGTGTGCGTGTATATGTATGTAATATTGACTACATGACCTAGTCTTAATAATGCACGTGTCAAAACCAACAAAAGTAAAACATTTCACATAATTTATCAATTTTTATTACAACAAAAACAATTCTAACCAACTGTAAAATTAAAAAAGTTGATTAGTATCATTATCTAACATTACAAGCACGTAAACACACACCGATACACACAAACACACACACACACACACACACATATATATATATATATATATACACACACACAAACATGAATCCAAATGTATATAACGAACGTCAATTAACATCTTGAACAAACACACACTGTAAATCACATGCATACATATTTACACACGCACACACAACACACGCACACACATCAATTGAAGAACAAGAAATCCGGCAGCTTCTTTATTTTAAGCTATTTAAACTCCAAATAGCTTAGGTTTCTTTAAGGGAGGTGCGTACTGCAAGATTAGATCAATGTCTGTCTGTTCCACGAGGACCAATGAATTGTCGTTCATGACGTCGACGTGGTGAAGGTTCTGAAAAGGTGCATTTATTGTGGTTTCATTTTTGTAGCGTTAAACGAGGTAAAATAAAAGTAACTACTACTGTTAGAAGCACTACTAATGCTAACTTTCGTTTCACAAATATTTTCAACAACAACTACTATTGCAACTGATATAATTAATGTTCGAAAACGGAAATGAAAAATGGTAAAAAAACGTTTGACTGACAACTGGAAGCTTAAATGATTAATTAATTAATTAATTGATCGGCTAGATAATTCATTAATTGGTTAGTTGATCGTTTAGTCGATTGATTGTTGGTTAGTTGATTAATTGGTTAGTTTATTGGTTGATTGATTGGTTGGTTTTTTTAATTGATTGAAGCACACATAACAAAAACTTACATGTGTATTATAGAACTCGAAGAGATCCCAACTAACAGCCTTCTTCCCATCTACCAGCTAAAACATAAACGTGGATGGAATCCAAAAGATATTTGTTAGCACTTTAAAACTAACATATGAACAGAAGTAAATTGACGCGCGAACAAAGGTGAACGAACATACAACACTAAAGCAACAAACAGGAACAAACACAAAACATGAACAGCATAAAATTATGAACAAACAAATGTATAAATATACAGAACATATAAACCAAGAACAAGAGAAAACAACAAATGAATGTTTGTAAAAGAAAAACCAAACGAACGAACAAACAAATGAACAAACAGGCAAACACCATCTCACCTTCCCCCACTGAATCACACTGAACCCTGAAGTGTGCTGCCCCACGATTCTACCCCCACCACTACCACCATCACCATCATAACTTGTGATGTCGTAAAAAAATCTCGAAATTCTAGAAGATTTGAGTTTTTTGTTGAGGTGGTCGACGAAGTTTTGATGGTGTTTGTTGCTCCAGGACTTGCTGATTGGTGTGAGCGAACCCAGGCTAACGTCAAACTCTGAAATCTGATTGGATGTTGTTGTTGATGATGATGACGTGATTATGATGATGACGTGGTTATAATGATCACGTGACCACGTGGCTATGACGTAATTGATGGTTATTCAACAATGATTAAATAATGTGATGGTTAAGTGACAAGGTGATGCTTGCTGATCAAGTAGGTCAAGATATAAGGTAGTTAAAAATGGGACTGATATGGTGATTAAGACTGATATGGCGATTGTGGTGATTGCTCCCATCATCATTACTAACACGGCCGTCGCTGTACGTCAGAAGGATGAGGTGAGGGTTGGCTGGGTGATAGTCGAGGTTTATGCACGATCTTTCATTCCAGGGGAGCTGGTGTAGTATCTAAGGTTGGTGTGTTGGTACATTTTTATGTGATGTGTTATATAGATGAGTGTTTTGTTTATGTTGTTGTTGGTGTTGCTATCAATGGATGAATTAATCAATCAACCATTCAACCATCCAAACAACCAAAACCAACCATTCAACCAGTCAACCAACCAACCAACCAGCCATCCAACCAACTAACCAACCATTCAGTCATCCAACCAACCAATCAACCAACCATCCATCTAACCATCCAACCAACCAACCTGAGAAGTATGCACATCAATGACATACACTCCAAACTTAACACAAGCAACTGCAAGATGTCTGTTGCTGCTGTTGAACTTGAAGTCCTGTACACTTGAGAACTCTGATTGATTGATTGAAATTAGCTGATTAGCTGAACGAAAGTAGCTGGCTGACTAGTTGCTACCTTGATTGACTCATTAAAAACATTAAAGAGAGATTTTCGACTAAGAGTGAATGATTGCCATGTCAGCAAACAAGAAATCTGGTGAGTCGTAAACCAGTCGTAAATCCGGAGATCAATGGGCCAACTAATTAAGCGACTGATTGACTGATTGATTGGTTGAATAATCAGGCGATTGATTGATTGAATTACTCGTTAATTGAATGGTCAGAAAACTATTGAAAGATAATTTAGAGATTTACAAGCGAGACTTTCAAAATTGTAACTTATGGTGGGAATGGTAAATGAGGATGATGATGGTGCACGAGATAGTAACGATGCATCAGATGGTGGCAACAGTTAAACATGAAATAATAAAACTGATGGTGACGACCGAGATGATGGCACCAACAAACGAAACCACACACATACCAGACAGCTGACACGTAGACAGGACAGAGGATTCATTCTTACCCTCTTTGACCTTGCAAAGGTCAAGGAAGGTTACGACATTGAACTTTGACAGGGATGCAACGACAGAGGACCCGCCGATTGCGAGGTGGGTTGACGGTGTCGAGGTGAAGGTCGATAGACACTCGGTGGCTGTGGCTCTGACTAGTGGCTTGTCTGAGTCCAGATGCTTCTGTGAGGACAAATAAACGATCATTATTATCAACATCGTCGTCCTTATTATTGTTATTCATGATCATTTTTATCAAGGTTCTAAAATTTCATAAAATTTCATTTTAGAACTACCTCAAAACTACATCATAAACAAACACACAGGCAAAGGTACAAACAAACACTCACTCACACACACACAATCCAAACCCCACAAACCATTTAACCACCTTGATCCTATCAAAGATACAAATACACACACACACACACCCCACAAACCATCATGATCCTAGCAAAGATACAATCACACATACGCACACACAAACACACACACACACACACACACACAATCCAACACTAACCATCTTGATCCTATACAAGGCAGTAGTCTTTTCGTTTGAGAATGCCAGCCAGGTTGCACACGAGCTAACACAGGAACACAACACGTGTGTTTCTGATGTTATGCAAAGCAACTTCTTCTCAGGCGTTGAGATGGGCAGGTGTCTGTCTGCTGATGTTGCAACTGTGTGTGTGTGCGTGTGTGTGAGTGAGTGCGTAAACATGGGTAAGCTATATATATTATTATTATTAT